ACCCCACCCCTCAACCCACCCCTCCAGGCGCTCTCCCCAGGGGACACTGCTTGCTACTGTCTTGTTACTGCTCCTCCCCATTCGGGGCCGCCCTCCGTCTCCCGTCCTCCTCCCCTTTGCCTGTGAATTGTGGGGACAGGCCACTCAGGAAAGAGAGGGCCTAGGTCCCACCCGCCGCCAGGCGAGGAACTCGGAAAGGGAGGCCCAGGTGGCTTCTAGTTCTTACCCCGACCCTTAAGCTAGACCTCCGGTGCCAGGAGGGGCCCCCACGCTGCCTCTGTCCCTTTTTCTTCCCAGTCACATTCCCGCATTGGCCTGTCTGGTGAAGCGCCTTTCCTGCCACATTCTCCGGCCCGGTTAAGAAGGTCGCGACGAGAAACTGCGAGAGGACATTTTACTTGCGGTTGTGCTAAACGAGATCGGAACAAATACCGTGAAGTAAATAAATTTAAATGTCGGAAGTCAGCGGACGCAAAGCCTTTCTCTCTCTGCCAGGTAAGACGAGGTCTCTTGGACGACTGGCCTGCTGTGGACCTCGTGGGCAAGTTCTCCGAGATAAGAGCGAGATTCTGTGTTTCATCAAAATGATTTCTTGTGCTTTACATTGTCTGAATCAGATCCTTGCTCACACACACACACACCCCCAAACCTCCAGAGTAGTAAAAACCAACTCTCGCTAATAATCATGTGAGTGTCTGGTTTGGGGCCTGCTGGGCTCACGAGCCCTTCTCCGGTCTGCTACGTTGGTGTAAAGAACCGTGTGGCCACACTTCTGCCAAAAACCTGGGTGCCTTGCGCAGGGATGAGTTCGTTAAGCTCGGCCTGACCTTTCCCCCAACCCGGCAGGATGTCACAGGGCTCCTGACCCACGGTCACATCCCTGCTGAGAAGGCTCAGACCCCAGGAAGGCCTGGGGAATCACTCTGATCCGCATAGCCGAAGAAGTTACAGACACCACGCCGGGCCAGTGAGCTGTAACACAGCGAGAATCCGAGAATCCGAGAATCCAAGAATCCAGCAATCCAAGAATCCGGCTGTGTCTTAACCGGCTCCCTGAGCCTTTTAGAAAATCAACCGACACAGACCCGAAGCGAGAATCCGGCTGCGTCTTAACCAGCTCCCTGAGCCTTTTAGAAAATCAACCGACACAGACCCGAAGTCTGATGCGGGCCGGATGCGCCCGGCTCTGCGTTCTGTTGCCTGAGGCAGGCGGCCCGAGGCCTTTGAGGTGCTAATAACCGCACTGGGCAGAGGCATGAACTTTATCCGCCACATTCAGGGGACATCTCGAGGTGACTGGAGGCAATGCAAGCCTTTCAGGCCGGGAGGGCTGGACCTCGGTTGGCCTCATGGGGACTGGGGCACAACCCTGACACCTGTCCTTCCCGCCCCCGGGGCGCCTCCGCCCCCTCTCCTGGGGATGAGAGAGCTACTGCCTCCTCCGTCTCCATCACGGCAGCTGAGGCGCAGGCTGCTCTGGAAATGGCGAGGAGAAACGCTGGATGTTTACGTCGTGACCCGCCCGCTGGGCCTGTCTCCAATGCTGACGGCTCCGTGACAGGAAGAGACGGCCAGCCCGAGGTGAGACACTGGGCTTTTCCCCTTGCTTGTGAGACTGGGTCTCAGATGATCGCTCATTCCTTCCTCTATGTTCCTGAGAGTCCCATCTCAGTCCTGAGCCTCCTTCTCTCCTCGGGGGACGCCATCCAAGTTTCCATGTCCCCCGAAAATGGGATTCGTTTGCTAGCCCTCTGATGCAAAGCTACCCGCCCTTCCTGAGGTGGTGGGGTCCCTGTGGGACGTCCCTGCTCAGGGCACACGATCAGTGCCAAGCCACTTAGAACGAGACTTAGGCCAGCCGTCCCCTACCCCTGCCAGCGCCGGTACCCCTTAGAATCAGAAGGCTGATGAGGCGCTCGACCCTTCTAGCAAAGCTCCCGAGGCAGGGACTGATTAAGCCCCGTCGGTCCCCGCTGATGCTCCGGCGCTGCCTGGGGAGAAGCGCCGCTGGGATACCGTGTCCTCCGGGACCGCGGGGCACTGAAGGGCACTGGTTCCCAGCGTCGCCAGCCCCCGCGCCTTCTGCGCCCGACGCCCGGGCACGCTGCGTTTCACCGCCCGAGACGCAAAGGATGCCGTTTCCTGCGCGAGGCCGCATCGCGCTCGCACCTGCCTTTCCGCTCCGGAGTGGGAACATCCTGAGACCCGAGGGGCACTGCGCCTGGACCGCGCTTTCCCGGGGGTTGGGGATGGCCCCCTTCTTTCTGGGCGTGCCTCAGCCAAGGGCCTCAGAGACTCCAACCTGAAGACGGTGACCGCCGAGGGCAAGTCCGAGCAGCGTGGCGGCCGGCCTGAGCTCGGCTCCGCAGAAGCCCTCGACCTGCTCGGCGTCGGCCGCCTAGCATGCCCCCAGCCCGGGGTGGGGGGCCTCTGTCCCCGCCGGGTATGCGGGCAGGGAGGGACCACGGGAGCTTTCGGTCCCCTCGTCGCCCGCCTTGTCTGGATGGCTCTCAGGACAGCCACCCTGTCGACCTCCCACTGGAAATGCCTCTGCCACCGCACGGCCCACCACCCAAGCTACGTGGGACGCCATTAAAGGGTACCTACCAAATGTCCCCTGGCTCCTCCCCTCCCGGGACGCCTGGTGACTGTCTTACTTTAATGGCTTTCCAGCCCACGTCCCTTTAATCTCACGTCTTCCAGGCTTCTCCTCGCTCTGCAGAGATGCTGGCCATGCCAGAGTCTGACCACCCCCAGTTACCGAAACAACCCCCCCCACCGCCGCCTCTGCCTCTGGGGCCTCAGGACAGGCGACTCCCAGGGACAAGCAGCGACTGCAGCCTCACTTCGAAGAAGTGACAGCATCTCAGCTTCGAAGAAGTGACAGGAGACACGGTCGTCCCTCAACATCTGCGTAAGAATAAGGGAATGAAATCTGAGGGGAGGAAGAAATAGGGACGAGACGTGACAGCCGCCCGGACTGACCAGAGGTGAAACCAGCTGGACATCGGAGCCCGCTCCGCGCTGCGGGACATGGACCCGCCGGGACCCGAGGGGCCCACAGGTCAGGGGGAGACTCCCGCAGAGGTGGCCGGCGACCGCCCGCCCGCCCCGTTCTTCACTCCCTGCCACCGGCGGCTTTTCAGAAACCACGAGACGGGCACAAGCCCAGGTCCCCACAGCCCCGGGGCCTCTGTCCGACCGAGGGAGACCACGCTCTGTGTGGAGCGTTGCTCCTGGTCTCCCACGCTGGCCTTGGTCCCTAACACCGCTCGCTCCTGACCCCTGTCCTGTCCGGAGCCCAGGGCCCTCCCCGACTGGGCGCAGGACTCAAGTCCCCACGCGGGGTTTGCCTGTCCTGTGCCACGGGATCGCATGGGCGTCTCCTGTGTGGGGGCCCGGGTCTGTGTCCCTGTCTGTGTCCCTTTCGCCCGAAGTTCTGTCCCTCTGTGTCTTTCCTCCTGTATTTGCCTCTCGGTCGCTCTCTCTTTTTCTGTCTCTATCTTTCCCTCTCTCTGTCTCTGTCTGTCTGTCTCTCTCTCTCTGTCTCCTTCTTAGGATCTCTTGTCTCAGTGTCTCCCTCTGGGTCTCCCGCTCCCTGTCTCTGTCTCTGTCTCTCTCCCTGTCATCGTCCCCCTCCCGGGGTTTCCCCAGCCCCTCCTCACGCAGCCGGAAGGAAGGGCTGACTGATGGGCTCTGCCGGGAAGGGCCACGGGGTCTCCACTTCTCCCTTTCGCTGCCTCTTCTCCCTGCCCCCACCCTCAGAGCCTTCCGCATCGGTGTCCAGGGCGGGTGGCCGGTGGAGGCACCGGGTGCTCCTCTGCCCTCTGCGTGTGACTCTCCGTGGCCCCACGCACCAGCCAGCGAGTCAGACCCCAGGAAAGGGAAGTGGGGGCCTTGACGGGGGCTGGCTTCCCCCAGGTGGGTCCAAGTGCCCTGCCTTCTTCTCAAGGCTGCTCCCCACCCGAGCTGAAAGCAGAGCCCCCTGGAGCCATGGCCCTAAGACTTCTCCTGACCCTCACCCTCTGGGCCGGCCGCTCCTCCTGCCGTGGGAGAGAAGGTATGTGAGACCCCGGGGTGTTGGGGGGGGCCGAAGCAGGGGGACGTTATCTGAAGACTGGACGTTTTCAGCTGTGGAACATTCTGGGGGTGGTGTGGGAGCTCACACACTTGCTGCATGCCCCCTGGTGGGAGGGGGTTACCATCCCATTGCGCAGATGGGGAACCTGAGGCACAGAGAGGACGTGTCCTGCCCGAAGGTGACACGAGGAAGTGGCAGCCACAGCCTAGAGAGTGGGGGGTGGGGTAGGGAGGGGGAAGAAGGGAGGAGGGGAGAGGGAGAGAGAAATTTTAACCTCATGCATTCATTTCGTGTGCTTTGAAACAAAGAGAATACGGTAAAATATCTCCCTGTCACCAGGGTTCCCTGCCACCTAGGTCCCCTCTGTGGTTTATTAAACCTCAGTTTCCCCATCTGGAAAAAGGGCCAATAGTTCCTGCCTTGGTGGGTTGTAGCGAGGCCGAGAGATGGGGTCGGTGCCTTCCGTCCGTGTGCTCATCCATCCCACAGACCTTTGTTAGGCACCGACTGTATGCCCGGCACCGGCTGGCAGTTCGGCGGGTGGGGATGAGCACAGGGCAGGGTTTTGCGGTCCCCGGGCGGGTCCGAAGCTCACGCTCGCCCCTCTCCCTCCAGATCTTCCGGCAGCCCCTGCCCAGCCCAGGGTGCACTGCCAGGCCTTCCGGTACCCGCTCGCCGTAGATTGCTCCTGGACCCTGCCACCTGCCGCAGACTCCACTGGGCCCACGTCCTTCATTGCCACATACAGGTCAGAGGGCCTGGAAGAGCTTCCCGGGGGTTCCACATCTGGGCGTGACAGCCCCCCGGAATCAAGGCAGCTGCAGACTCGACTAACTCTAGGGCAGCGCCAAACAGTGAGGTTATACTTCCCCCAATACGTACTGTGAGCCACATGGGTCCATTCAAGTTCTCTAGAAGCCACATTAAAAAAGAAGAAATGGGTGAAATTAATTTTAATATCTTAAATGTTATCTGTATGTTCCAAATATTTACCATTTAATGATTGTGGTAAAAATCGAACATACATACAACGTGTATATTTAAATTTATAGTAGAAATTAATATTTAATAGGAATAGCCAAAATAGTATCATCTCAACACGTAATCATCATTTTCAAAGTTAATTAGACACTTCACTATCTTTTCATCCGAAGTCTTCAAAATTCCTCGTGTATTTTACGCATATAGCACATATTGATGCAGATGCTACACTTTCATTGCAAGTTCTTGACTTCTGATTAGATTTCATAAAATATGAGGTTGGAGCAGCAGATTCACTTATTCTGAACCACCTTTCCAAGTTTTCCGATAATGGAAAACTTCACATCTAGATTAGATAAATTTAAAGGTCGACCTCAGAGGCGCTCGCCAGGGTTAAGTGCTTGATAGCCAGAGGCAGCTCCTGCCGACCACATCCGACGTGCAGATACGGGTCGTTCCGAACATTGTGGAAAGTCCTGTGGATGGCACGGAGCTCCGGTCTGTAAAGTCTGACACACCTGTGGGCTCAGGACTGAAGAGCACAGGAATCTTACCATTTCGGATTCCAGCGTCTGTGACTCTGCAGGCCTCAGAGTGTCGGAATTCTGGGGCTGGAATGTGGACATTTCAGAAACCTTTAGACTGGGGAAGCTGAGTCTCTCCTGTGCTGTATCACCCTCCTCCACCCTGGGTCTTTGCAGGCTCTGTGAGGCTGGGGTGAGCACCTGCCCCAGGCTCCCGCCTGCAGTCCCCACTGGGGTTCAGGGCAAAGACCTGGCCAGCGGGGAGTGTGGAGGCCTCACAGTGCCCACCCCGTGTCCAGGCTTGGCGTGGCCGCCCATGGGGAGAGCCAGCCCTGCCTCCAGCAGAAGCCGGAAGCCACCAGCTGCAGCATCCCGGACATCCAGATGTTCTCCATGGTGCCCTACATGCTCAACGTCACGGCTGTCCACCCCGGGGGCGTCAGCAGCAGCTTCGTGCCCTTCGTCCCAGAGCACATCAGTGAGTGGGGGTAGCACTGGGGGTGTGGAGGGCCACCGGCTTCTTCCTGCTCCCCCGGCCCCAAGCACCCCCACCTCCTGCCTGTCGCCCAGTTCTGTCCTCCACCATGGACCCCGTGGGCTCCATCTTCATAGTTAACCAAGAACCCGCCCACTTCTTCCCCTCCTGAGTCTCTACCTGGCCCAGCCTCCTTACGGCCCACCGGGACCACTGCAGTCGGCTCGCCCCGGTTCCCAGTTCCCAGCTCCCACCCTCGTCCCCCAGGGCCTGTTCTCCCTGCAGCCGCCAAAGGGCGACCGTGAGCACCCGAGTCAGGCCCCGCCCCTCCTCGGGCCTCCAGAGTGCACGGCGCCCTGGGGTCAAAGCCCAGGTCTTCCTTCCCCCGCCCCCGCCCACAGGGCCCTGTGTGACCTGCCCGTCCCTTCTCTGCCAGGAGTGGGTGCGGGCGGTGACTGCTTAAGGATGCGGGACTTCTTTTGGGGGTGAAGGAAAAGTTCTGAGCTAAATAGCGGTGATGGTCACGCACCATTGTGAATGTACCAAAAACCACTGAACTGCACACTTTGGAAGAGTGGGTTTTGCAGTATGCAAATTACGTCTCAAAAAAGCGTTGCAAAACGCTCCCCTCCGTGCAGTCCTAGGCCTCGCTGCTTTTTATGATCAGGAGGTTGGCTTTTGTCTTTTGTCTTCCACCCCGAAGGACTGAGCTCCAGGGAGGGACAGGGCTTGGGTCTGTGTTGGTTACTGCTGGATCCCCAGTGTCCAGAACACCGCTGGACACTCAGTGGGCCGTCAATTAATGTTCGTTGGCTGTTTGAATGAGTGAATCGATCCGCCATCCGCTGACCCGGCCTGTTCATCCATTAGTCAAACCGGACCCTCCAGAAGAGGTGCGCCTGAGCCCCCTCCCCGGGCAGCAGCTGGGGGGGCAGTGGGGGCCCCCCCAGTCCTGGCCCTTCCCAGA